GTCTCGTGAGAAATGAGGTTTGTGAAATGGATGCTGCACCGGCTATCCCAGACAGAGGACTTGATTGCAGTTGTTTGAAAAGCCGGTCACCTGTAAGAGGTCTCTGCTGGCATTTGGCAAGTAGTGCTGAGGTTCTGCTCAGAATGTGGCTGTTCTACCTTTTTTTAAGATATGTAGGAAGACACCAGAACTACTGTAGTATCTTTCCCTTCTGGAGGAATGCAGTCTAACAGAGAGAACGGCACAGAAGTTATACTTAAACTGCATCATGTTTGAAATCAGTTCATAGAGGAACAGGGGTGCAAGATGAACAAGTATTGGTGACTTCTCTTCATCTCTGTGGCATTTTTGTGCCACAAAAAAGGGGAGTTTGTCATTGCAGCTGTGAGATTAAAGGCAAAGCTATCTGATGGGGTTTAGCTGATGCAATGTTTCATGGCCACTGGATGAGAGCATTTTCCTCCCAAGCCATTCTCTGTTTTTCCTCAGAGAAGCAAAAGGGCAAAATCTCCTCTAGATTGCTTCAGTCCTGTTGTGTGAGTGCACCTTGTGTCCTGCACACACATCCTTCTTCATGTTCCCCAAACACACCAGTGTCGACCTTCCTCAGCTCTTACACAAACTCCCGCTGCTGCCTTGGAGTATTCATCAGGAGGGTTCCTGGCGTTTTGTGAAGTTAAAGCTGCTGTTTTGCCAACTGATGCAAGGTTTCTGGAGAGTGGATACATTTCTCCAGGGACTAGGGCTGAAAATTGCTAAATTCATTCTACTCAGTGCTTCAGTAGAATGTAGCCTTAGTTGTTTTTAAAGAAAAGGCTTCAGTGAAATAAAGCCAAAGATGTGTATGGTGCAGCAAATGAAACCTACGGCTGCATAAACAGATCAATAAACTGATTTGTGTTTGCTGACCAGAAGAAAAATCTAATTGCAAGTACTCCATATTCAACGTTTGTGGTGAAACTAGAGTAATTGGAATAATGAGAAATCCAATTTACTTTTGCTTGGAGTTTATTCTTCTTTAGGTTTCATTAAACTGGACTGGTGCAATGCACAGGCCTCTCAAGGCTTAGGCTGGTTGTGTGTTCACAGCTTTTAGGTCTTCAGACTGATATGTTCTTCACTGATTTCTTCAAATTCTAAATTATCACATTTTCTATGTTTTAATATGACTTGAAATGATTGAAGTAATATTGTTCCTGGTGTGTAGAGGCTCATTTCTCCCGCCAGAATCTCCTGCTCTGTGTTGGGCAGCCATCGGTTGACTGAAGTTTGAATGCATCTGAACAGCAAAATAGTTCTCAGGTTGCCTCAAGTTCCAGATCTGTGCAGTTATTAACATCTGCAAGAGGAAATAATGCTTTCCTGCATGTCCTGAAGATGTTTTTCCAAGAAAAGTATTGTTGTGTCAGTCCTCAAGTATTTTTCATTTGAGTGCATCTCTTGCATCTCTTTGGATTTAGGTAAAAAGAGAGGATGGAGATCCTGGCATGATTGTATCTCTGTGAGGGACAATATTCAGAAAGGTAAAAGATTTTAGATAGACAGGAAGAAATACCCCAGGAAAAACAATAAGGTTGGACTGATGTAAATGTGTTTTCTCCATCTGAGTGGGACAAAAGCTGTTTCAAGGTATCTGTCATCTCAAATGCTGGTAACAGTAATGAAGATAGTGATAAAGAGTTCTTAAAAAGTTATCATTGCAAGGAGAGTAGAATTGTCACCAGCATTTAAAATCCCTTTGAATTAAAGTCGGTAAATTGATAGACATATTGTTAGCTTAGATATCTCATTAGCATTATTTGGAGAGTGGAAAATGAGTCCTCTATGAAGGAAACAGAAGGGGGTGAGCTCCCTCTCTGCGAGGAGGAAGACAAGGAAAGAAGTGATTGGAGGTTAATGGGATGTAGACAGGTAATGGTGAATTTGTGATTTTAAGTATATGAATAGCTGGTAATTTAAATGAGTCTTAAAAAAAGCTACAGAAAATGGTTTTTTAAAGTTTTTGAAGGCAAGCCTGGTAAAAGTGGAGGCAAAACCTCTTGTTGCTGGGTTTTGTTTGGATCTGTCCGTCTATGGAAGAGAGAACCCAAAGGTCGTCCGTAACTGGAGATCCGGAGTTTAAAAGGAAGGTGATGTGTTGACCTGCCAGTTGGCATATGGTACGACCCTAGTATTATCCGAGATTATGCCAATAAAGACTAAACCCTGTAAGTTGGTTCCCTTCGCTGTTATTTAACAAAGGAAGCACCTTATCCAGAAGTCTGGTAGGAAACCTATGGGTTTGAAATGCTATTTATATCTCCCCATGGCAGGGGCAGATTTGGCTTTTTGGTTCTGTTGTTATAAATAGCATAAAAGCTGAGCTCTTCAAAGGTTCCATAGTTCTGCAAAACAGGCCAGTGTGTTCAATTGCAGTTGTAACCCTTATTGTGTTTTTTTTGCTACATTTGAAAAGGTGTTTTGCTATTTTATTTGTCCTCTTTATAAAAGAACACTTTAATGACTCTCTGATCAAAGATTGTCCCTGTTCTATTCTAGCAAGCGCCTGTGTTTTTCTTTGTCAAGATGTGTTTCATCAGCTAAGACAAAGTGATTTAAGGCAGGTTGTGACTAATTATATTTGAAAACAGTAGACAGAAAAGCTTGCATTTTTAGAAAATTTTGTTAACTGATTTTGCTCTTGAAACGTGGAGGGGAGTGCATTTTGGACATGGTTTCAAAGCATGGAAGTGGTGTTGGATCCACAGGAGAAGGCTGTGCTTCCTTCCAGAGCACTCTGGCTCTAGGCAGTAGAAGTATTTCCATTTCTATCCTGAATACGTTCAGGAACATATATAGTTTTTTTATTAATGTACCGGTATTTTCTTTATAGCAAGTAGTTCATATAATTTTCACTCTCTTTTCTTGCATAGTTATTGACAGTGATCATATATCCCACTTTAGCTAAGCTGAGTAAGCCAGACTCTTTTAGTCATCACTTGTAAAGTAAGACTTTCTGTACCCTGACTATCCTAGTAGCCGGTTCCTTAGCTAGAGCTTGAACTCATCTTTCCTGGCCATGCCACTGACTGTCCGTGCTCCAGGGCCGGGAGCAGTGCTGTAACTCTCAGGGCATCCTGCCTTTCATTACAAAAGCCTCCTGTGGATTAGCTCTCTTGCGAGTGCCTTTGAGTCTTTTGAAAGAGAAAATTGCTTTTGGTAGCAATAAATTGCACACCTCAAAAAAATCAGGACATACCTTTTTTAGACCTTTTGCACAAGAAAAGGGCATTATATCGGACTGTACAGTTGGTGGACCCTGAATTTTAAAATCAGCTGGGTTCTTTTCTTCCTTACCAAACGAAGAGAGGAATGAAAGACACAGAATAGCAGCCTTTTTCTTTTTTAACCACACATGCTGTTTCCACTCAGTTACACGTATGTGTTTGTGCATGACCTTAATTATTGTATCGAAATCTTCACTTAATAGCATGAATCTGCTCAGGCTTTTTTTTTAATGCCGCTTGGCATGTGGTCTCCATGTACTTGAAAAATTCAGTATTGGTGGTTTCAGGAGGGGCGAGACCCATACAACACGCAGTGATTGCAGAAACCTGCTCTTGCCCAGGTCCGTTCAACACTTGGTTTTTTTATGCTAGCCATACTGCCTCCTCCACTCCACTCAGTGGATTTTGCCATGGTTTTCTTCCTAGCTTTGTCCACAGCCCAACCTTCACCTCAGGCTAAAGGAAATGTTCTCACTTCTCAGGTTAGTGCGAATACAGTATTTTGTCAGAAATGAAACAATTCCAGCATGCGTGGCTGTAGGCATTTGTCTCGTAAGTTGTTATGGCTGTATTTCTGTGTATTGGGGGGATATAGGAGGAATTTATTGCAGGAGTAATTAATTATTATGAGTTTGTTTGTTTAAAACCAGTATTTTGTCAAAAAATTCCTTCCTGTTTCCTTGGTAAGCATTCCTGAGAATTCCTTATATCTAACATTTATGTATATTTAGAACATCTTATGGAGTTGTTTCCAGCCAGGCTGAGTTGGCTGTTCCAGGGTTGATCAGTAGCACCGTCTTCTAGATTTCCACGTGGGAGTAAGACTGAGTACTATGGCAGAAAAATCTCCCTAGTCTTGGTTTCAGGATTGATGCAGAGGTCAGTGCTTGCTTGCAAGGTGCGCGTCTTAAGATGAAGGGTCAGAAGAGAACAAGGGGTGTGATGTCAGGATCCGTCCTCTGTGAGCAAGATGGCTCACATCCAAGCAGTAATGGCTTCATCAGATAAAAAGCACTTGAACTGAGGAGGGTCTTCAGTGGGATATGGTTACTGTTCTTTTTGTAATAGCTGTATGGTTTTGGAAGATGAGGTGGGAGGTCTCAGGGCCAGCACCTGCAGTGGGACCTAGGTCTGGGAGCCCATGTCTGTCTGTGGTGCAGCAAATGGAGCAAGTGTGGGACCAGAAGGACCAGGGAGGTCCCAGCCAGCTGCTGGAGAGACGGTTGAGTCTGGGGGTTGACTGAGACCACTTGTGTGTCTGCACAAAGGTGTAGGTGTCTGTAGGGGTGAGGCATCTGGGAGGAGTGAAGATCCAGGGCCAGCTGCCGAAGAGACTGCATGTACCAAGGGTCCATAGGGTGTGAGCGAGGGGGTCTGTGCCACAACTGGAGTGGGGCCTGCAGCCTCAGGGCTTGCTGCGCCTAGGTGCCAGCAGCTGGGAAGACTGGGATCCAGGGTCAGCTTACTGGGCAGGCTGTCTTGAGTTCATGCTGCACCTATGCACATATAGACTTTTCCCACTAATTTAGCTTCTCCCCCTAACAGTCTCTTGAAGTAATTGTGTCTCATTCTCCTTGGGCAGATACTGTTGGTTACAGCTTGGAAGATTTGAGGATGAAAGAGAGAGTGGAAGAAGCAGAATGCCTCGAAGCACCTTTTGGAGATGGGAGGAATTAATTAATCAGCAAAGCTGTGCCAGGATGTTTCATTCTAATCATCTCTTTTGTATTTCAGCCCTGGCCCAGTGTGTCCAACCTGGCCAAGGATTTCATCGATCGTCTACTCACGGTGGACCCCAGTGACAGGATGACAGCCCTTCAGGCCCTGAAGCACCCATGGGTGGTCAGCATGGCAGCCTCTTCCTCCATGAAGAACCTGCACCGTTCCATCTCACAAAACCTTCTCAAGAGGGCATCTTCCCGCTGCCAGAGCACCAAGTCCGCACAGTCCACCCGCTCCAGCCGCTCCACCAAATCCAACAAGTCGCGGCGGGTTCGGGAACGGGAGCTGCGAGAGCTGAACCTGCGCTACCAGCAGCAGTACACTGGCTGAGCACTGGGCTGGGGCCTGCCAGGCGTCTTTCCAGATGTCTTCTCTGCGGTGTAGGTGTGCAGCACCCTTTGCCGCACACTCACTCAGTGAGGAACATCCAGGTTCCTCCCTCCCTCCTTCCAGGTGTCCCCCCCCCCACCCATGAGGAGGTGTCCCCCCTGCGCGGAGGAAAGGGAATCTTGTGGTGGCCATCACACCCTGCGAGCTGTGCCATGGGGTCTCGCGCAGGAAACGGGGGAGCCCTTGTGGGCTCAGAGCACAGCTCAGAGCCTCAAGTAATACACAAATTAAGGAGCCACGTGGGGAGAAGAGCTCTTTCTGTAGCCCAGGAGCTTGGTTGCATGAGGAGGTGTCCCCCCTGCGCGGAGGAAAGGGAATCTTGTGGTGGCCATCACACCCTGCGAGCTGTGCCATGGGGTCTCGCGCAGGAAACGGGGGAGCCCTTGTGGGCTCAGAGCACAGCTCAGAGCCTCAAGTAATACACAAATTAAGGAGCCACGTGGGGAGAAGAGCTCTTTCTGTAGCCCAGGAGCTTGGTTGTTCATAGTTATTTATTAATTCCAGAGCGTTAAGTTTCTCACTTGCATATGAAAAGAAAAAGAAATCACTTTATGTGTATGTACATGCACGTATGTGTGTGCACATACATGTGTGGGTGTGTATATGTATTTAAAAATTATATATACACAAATTTTGAGCTGGCTTAGTCAGACTCTGTGGTACCTTTGCAGTGAAGCTGGTATGAGTCACATGCAGTTAGAAGTAGGATAGCTCTGACTCACCGGCATGCTGCCCACCAGCTCCTCATCCCAATAAGGCACCGAGGAGATGCCAGACAGCAGTTTTCCATGATGGCTGAGAAGCTGCGAGGTTTCCCCCAAGGGCTGCCGTCCACCTGATGACATCAAGGGTTTACTCAAACTGTGAGAGCTGCCGTGCAAATTGGCAACCAGGCTGCAAGCTCGGAGCTGTAGTCTGGTGCCTTTGATCCGGACTGGGTGGGTGCTCCTGCTGGAGGGGTGGGAAGAGGATCATCGTCCTGCAGGAACTTCATGGTATGCAGAGAGATGTCTTTGGCAAGGCAGGTTTTTGGGGGGTTCCCTGCTGTCCCCCTTGAATTATCCTTCTGCTATTTGCAGCAAGACCAGTGCCTACCATGCAGGGTTTGTTGTTCTTGCTGTGACGTGGTCCTGTCATGTCTGTGACCTGTTACACGTCTTGCACCCTTCAGACTAGCATTACTGACTGCATCACTTCACCAAAACTTCGGTGATTCCAGGTATTGAACCTTGTCTGCAGATTTTATGGGACTCCCCTGCTTTGCATGTCTGTTCTGCCCCAGTCTTGCTGTCCCTGCTCTGGGCCAGTGAAGTGGTGGTGTGAGCTGTCGGGATGGCCACAAATGGCTCCGTAGCCATCAGGGTAGGGGCTTGAGTAGTGGAGGTCCAATCCTGGAGTGTCAGAAGTGATAATGGAGATGTTGCTAGAGCTAGATGTTGCTATATTAGAGCTGTTAGGTGTGACATAAAGTCAACAGGAAAAAGCTGCCTTTCAGGTTTCCTTGTGCTGGATGGGTGATGTGGGGGCCTCTTGTGAAGGACCTCTCAGGGGAGGTGGGGGCTGTAGAGCTGAGCTTTATGCAAGCCTGCCGAGTTACCTTCCCAGCTAGTTAGAGTAGCAAAGTGGGGCTGATGGCACAGTCTCAGGGTGGATTCAGCCTCTTGTGATAGCAGAGACAAGATCTGCAGTGAAGGAGAATGCTGTTTTTTGAAACTTTTCGTCCGAAGCCGTACCGTTTGGTTCTTGCTGTGCACTTGGGAAGTATTTGCTTAGCTCTGGGCTGGAGGTGCAGGCTCTGCAAGCTCAAGGAGCTGGCGAGCATGGCCTTTTTGCCCAGGATTGATGTCTCTGCTGCTGTGGTTTAGTGTCAGTAAGGTTTTAAGTGGTCAGTCGCATCTCCAGGGAGCTCTAACTCTATTGGCCACAGCCCCTCTTGGTCAGCAAACAGCAAAAAAGCGCAGTTTCAGTGGGAGAAGACTGAGTTTTCTGTGTTAAGGAAAAAAAAAAAGGGAATTTCTAGGGATGTGCTTTCCACCCCAAAGCTGGGATGGGCCATGACCGCTGTGAGCACAGCTTGATGTGCTCAAGCGTGCGGTGGGGAATACGCCAGGGGAAACCTAAGGACAACCAGTATGTGTAGCAGGGGTGAATTCTAAATCCTTTGCGTGGTTTTGCATATTATTTTGAAAACTCTGGATCCTTTGCAGGCTCCCTTTTCTCTGAGTGGCCATTCTACCATATCCCGTGCAGTCTTTCTTCCATCAGCATTCATGGATACTGCAGAATTACCAAAAATTGTTTTTTTCAGCTCTGTGGACTGCAAAGAAAATGTTTCTTCTGCTTCTGTTACCTTCTCGTGTAGTCTTCCCTGGTTCGTTACCATGAACTATAAACTAGATGTGATTTCTGACAAAACAGGCAGCTTGCCACATTTTGCTTCATAAACAGTTCAGTACCCCTCCTATTACTGCAAACAGCTCTTCAGAAGCAAACCACTCTAAGACAGGTATCAACTGGAAAATTGTTCTTCCCCTGAACGTTAAGAGATGGCAGGATTCTCCTCTTGGAAGGCTTCTGGTTTTGAGCAGTCACTCATAAGAGCCTTCTGCATGTTTGGAGCACCACACCCAGGCACTGTGATCTCTTTTCCCTCCTGGGTGCTTTTATGGCCCTCCCCAGATTATCTTGCATGTTTATCCCTAAAATAGGTATTTTGCCTATGTGAGGAGGTCAAACTGATGAACTGAGCCAAGACCTCTAGAACCTGAGACCCTTTCCTTTAACCACTAGACCATCAAAATGCACAGATGTTCTGCAGATGTCTACCCACACTGTTCCTTCATGCTTTCCCTTGTGGGGGATAAATGAAGGTGGAGAGGAGGTCATGACGTTGAGCTCTGGTCCAACCAAGCTTTTTTCTCCACCTTCACAAAGCAGAACAAGAATCTCCTCATCTGTGGCAATTTTTGCTTTATTGCTCTTTTCAGCAATTGGTTTTTCACCAGGAAAAGTTCAAAGCAATGTCATTCGTGGTGAGTTTGGGGTGGAATACGTTCTGGGAAGCAAGATGTTGCTATATAGGTTCCTGACAGTGTCAGTTTTCTGTGATGATACTCGATGACCAAGGAGGTGAATTGGCAGAAGGGAGGATCCTTCACATACATGAGCAATACTGGATAGCTGCCTCCTGCCTCTTTGTGGTATGGAGATGTGGTCCTCAGGCATCCCACTGTTAGGGAATTGCACCAAAGAGGACCAAGTCCATCCCATAAGGGGCTTTGGCTTTTCTAGAAAGAGAACTCTAATTGTCTTTATAAATGCAATGTTTTCTTGTTTGCATGGAAAAACCAATGTAAACATGGGGAAAATCTTTATGGGCTTTCCTTCCATCATTTGATTGTAACACCGTTGGCTCAATCCCTCTTCTTTTTCTATATTCGGTATTTGCAGGAACCCAGACAATAACATGTGTGGGCAGAGCTCCGTCCAAGTGTCCCTTGGAGCCCTCAGTGATCTTTCTGTTTTCACTCTGTCCAGAAAACTGCGATGGTCCAATGCTACATTGCAAGGTCCAGCTCAAGAACAGTTGCTCGGTGCTTTTATCCTTGCAACTGTGGCACATTTTCAGCTGGGTCTGGCAGGGAGGACAGGCAAAGTGCTGTACTTTTGAGGAGTAGGAGCTTCACTGTGAATTATCTTGATCATCTGTCTTCGTATATATTCCACCGGAGCATCTCGGCTCTCAGTTTATCTCAAGTCTCAGGAGTTTACACTTTACAGGAGTGCCTTGTTTGGGGATTTTAGAAGCTAAAATCTCTCTGAAATGTCTTTTCTACCATTTAATTTTTAAATCTCTTTCTTTGGCTCTTAATGGTCGTTCTTAATTTGGCTCGCAGGGGTTTTTGGAAGACTTCCTCTGGTACTGAATTAGCTGGGAGAACAAATACATGTTCCAGGCTATTGCTGAGTTGCAGTCTTTATATTAGCTGGGGTGCAAATCTCTGTAAATGAGTGCTTTTGTCTTCTGTACTTCTATTCATACAATGAAAATGAAGCTGGAATGACACCTAGTGGCAAATTGCAGTGTGTCCTTGTCCAAGTACAGCCCTCTTCTGGTTATGTTCCCACTGTTTTGGGGTGAGATGCTGTTTACAAAGAGGAATCTGGGTTTGGTGTGCTGAGTGATGGTCCTGAACCACACCTGCACTCCTAGATGTTCAACAGCTTTTTCAGCGTGGCACCATTTTCTCCTATACTGACCCCAAACCCCAGCATTTTAGCCCACACAGGGATGAGCATGAGTCCATGTGCATCCACTGAAGGGATGCTCAGTGCTGGGGAAAAGACATGTGCAGTCAACCCACCAGCATCTCAAGGAGATGCTCACCAGCACCCTGCCCTGGGGAGACGCCTTAGGGGACACTAGGAAAAAGCAAAGCCTAAAGATGCTGAGGCTGGAAACAGTAGGTTTGGGACTTTCTCCCATCATGAGACATGATGGAGCAGTTCAAGGTGTTGCTTCCCAGCGTATTCTGTTTCAGGGAAAAGCAGCTTTAAGCAGTAGAGGGAATTATGGTTGTTTGTCTTTTGGAACTTAGCAGTACTGTGTAAAACAATCCCATTGTTTTGTCCTGGGAGTTTGGCTGCTCTCTTGGGGGAGAGAATTACAGCTTCAAAGAATGTGGCCTGTTGATTCCTTGATTTTTTTTTTTTTTTGAGTGTTATTGGAAATGAATGTGGAAAGGTCTTCCAGAAATAATGTTAGGTGGTCTACAGACTTCTTAAGCTTTGCATCCAGATTTTTGAGTATGTGATGTATTTTTCTATGCATTTTGCTAAAACAGCAATTACTTGTGCATGTTTGATTTACTTCTCACCCTTCTCAAGCTTCTAAAAACCAACACGTCAACCCAGTGGTGGTAGAATCACACCTTCCTTCAATCCAGAAGAAGTCTGTGCTGTTTAACACTGAGATTGTGATAGCATCCAGATGCTTCTGCCAGTTCCTGGACTGTGTTGTGCTTGGAAACATATGACCATACGCGAGGGACAGCTTTATAGCCTTGTGATGAGAGTAAGCCCAGACAAAAGGGCTCTGACCTGCTGGCTTTGGTAGTGATGTGGAAACCAGCT